GAACATGGGCGGAGGGTTCACGAGGAGCAGGGGGAGCAGACAGCCGGAGAGAAGCGGCGCTTTGAAGGGGAAACTGCAGCTTCTCTCCGGCTGCGCGGCTGCCCCTGCTCCTCGTGAACCCTCCGCCCATGTTCGCAGGGCCGCATTCTGAAAGGGGCTTTAGAGGGGGGGTTGGGTAGGGAATGGGGTCCTGGGGGGGCCTGTCCGGGGGCAGGGCTGTGGATAGGGGTTGGGGCAGTCAGGGAGCGGGGGAGCTGGATGGGGGTCGTCAGGGGACAAGGAGTGGGGGGGGGTTGGATGGGTCGGGTGTTCTGAGGGGGGGGGCGGTCAGGGGGCGGAAAGTGGAAGGGGGCGGTTAGGGTTTGGGGAGGCACAGCCTTCCCTACCCGGCCCTCCATACACTTTCAGAACCCCGATGTGGCCCTCAGGCCAAAAAGTTTGCCCACCCCTTGCCTAGGGCCTATCAAGGCAGCCCAATAGCCAAGATAAGGGGGGAAGAGAGGTTGGATCCCCTTGTGTTCTAAGGCTGGGTTTTTCACAGGTTCCGCAGGGACTTTGCTGCCCTCGTGTTTCAATGGGAACCGGAGCCTCGCTTCTCCTGGAGCCTTCCGGCCCTGGAGCTGTGCCCCTTGCTTCGCTCTCCAAGGCCAGTCTGAGGGGGGAATCCCCCCTCTCCACTCCCGCAAAGCCTGCTCATGACGCAGCTCCCCACCACGAGAGCTCAGCAGGCCTGAGAGGCAGACGTACCTACCCCACCAAAGCACCGGGGTCTCAGCAGCACCACTGCCTGGGAGAGACGCAGGCAGCAGCCCCAGAAAGTCACCCCCTCCCCTCAGGTTACAGAGGGGAGAAGTTCTGGCTTGGGACAGAGACAGGGAACTGAACAAAATACACAGCACATGCAGTGCGGGGGAAGTGCTGTCTGGAGAATAAAGTCCAGGACTGGGAGGCAGGACACTTGGGTTCTCTGTCCAGCTCGGCACGGATCAGCCATGTGGGCGGTGGAATGCCAGCTTGGCTTGATGTGCCTCGGTTTCCCCACCTCTAAATGGGGGCTAATAACTCTACCTTCTTCCAAGAGGACTGTGATGCGTAATGAATTAAAAGTGCTCTGCCCCAGTCCCTTGCACTTACACAGCACCTTCCAGCCAAGGAGTTCAAAGCAGGTGGCCAAGAATTGTTACGGCCACATTATGGACAGGGGAAGGAGCCCGAGGCACAGAGCAGGGACCTGACATGCCCCAGGTACCGCAGAATGGGGTACCGAACCCAGCTCTTTTGACGCTGACTCCCTGTGCACTAACCTCTAGACCAGGCTGCCTCTCGGAGAGCTTGGGGTGAGAGGCAATATGGAGGTGTGCTGCATTATTGCCCTTTCTCCTAAGGATTGTCACCCCAGGAGGCCCATGCAGAACACACCCCTGCTAGCAGCTCTCCAAATACAGAGTGACTGGTGGGTTCAGTCCCCTGTAATGGACCCTGCGCCCGTCCCCCAACTCAAGCCCCAGGAGGACACAGATGAGGAGTGACTGTGGCCAGCGGGAGGCGACAGGGAGCACCTACGTGGCGTAGCCGAAGACGATGTTAGCTGTGACCTGCAGCGCCCCCACCTGCGGGATGATGTCGTCGTTCAGGTTCCTGAAAAGAAATGGAAGCACCTCATGAGGGGCATGAAACCTACACAGTCCATGGTCGCTCTGGGACCTCCGGGCTGGGGCCAGGCCAATGGGCTCTGATCAGAGGAGCGGAGGAAAGGTTTCATGCTATTCACTTGCCTATCAGTGAGCTCTGGGAGGTAGTGGCCTAGTCCCTCAGGTGGGAGCCCTGTTGCTTGGGCCCCCAGGCCCAGACAGGACAAAGCCCTGCAGAACATGCTGTAAGGAACAGCCCTGAACCGGGCTGGAAACAGTGCAAGCCCGATGAATTGTTTAGCATGAGGCCAGTGCGCCAACACAATGAGACACCAACTGGCAGCCCAGCGTCGTCAGCACTGCAATACTAGCTGGGGAAGACCTGTTAGATCGGCCAACGAGCCGCATACGAGCCGCGGGCGCCGAGATCTCAATCTGTCTGCGCCCGGAGGCTACAGTGTCTTTACTTGGTGGAATGGCGACATTTGCCAGCGACGGCACAACATGGCACTTGCCAGCTTAGCAGCAGTCAGGCTAAGAGACGCATGGTGGCTGCCTCTGCGTGCATGTTCTTGCGTGCGTCTGGGTAGGAATCCCTGGGTATACGCATGCCCACAGGCAGCTATATGTGCACATGGACACACATGGTGTGCATGACCTCAGTGTGTGTGGCTATAATATTTCACACCTGATAGCACGGTCACACGTGTGCTTGCACCAGTGTCTGTATATGTGTTCTGGAAAGCAAAAGGACTGCTTTCGCACGCCCTTGCTGTGTACGTCCCTTGCACTTACATAGCACCTTCCAGCCAAGGCCCTGAAAGCAGGCAGCCAAGAACTGTGCCCCCATCTACGTCCGCGGTACAGGAGTGCGTATGCAGCCGCTCAGCTGTGCCGAGCGACGCTTCCTGGCCCTGCCGCTCCCGGGCGGCTGGCTCTGGGGTGCTCACCTCTTGCGGCACATGTCCAGCAGGAAGATGTTGAGGCCGGTTTGCCGCTGCTGCATGCTCTTCAGCACACTCTGCACGCACAGGCAGTGCTCCGAGGTATAGGATCTCGGCGCGTCAATCGGAACCATAAAGCTGTTTCCAAAGTTCTCGTAGCCGTGGCCAGCGTAGTAGAGCAAACCTGGGGGAGGGAGAGCAGGAGCAGAGTGCATCAACCTGCACCGGTCTGTGCTGCTCTCACACCGTCTCCATCTCTGCCTCCCTCCTAATTCTGGCCTTGCAGCCCACTGCATCCAGGGCTGCAAAGTCCATTCCAGGGGGGCTCAGAAATCCAGTTCAGGTTCTCCTCCTCCTTCCCACTCATTTCTCCATCTGACCTATACACAACCCTCCTCTGCTCGCCCAGTTCCCCCCTCCCATCCCTGGGGTCATACTGCCTGGAGTGCCCTTTCCTGCTTGCCGCAATGGATTGGCCAGGCTGTCAGAGGGGTCCTGCGTTAGGCCTTCAGCAGGATCGTCGGCCTGGCTTCAGGCTCTGGCTATGCCACCCGCTGACGCCTGCTAAGCCAAACCCTGTCCTTAATGCCAGAGCCTTCCACAGCTCGGCCTCACCCAGTGTGCACCCACTGAGCTGCTAACAATCCAGCCTCCAGGGCCCCTTGGCTTCTCCCACAAGCATCTGTGCGCTCTCTCCTGTCCCGAGTGGGAGGCACCCAGACAGACTCCTCCAGCCATCCCCTGGTCCCTCCAAGTCCCTCCTCGCCCCCGTGTCTGCGGCCTGTGGGCATCTCCTAGGTGGCTGCTAGCCGACCTGTCGCCACTGTACCTGCCGAGCTAGGAGATACACAGCTCCTGTTGTGTTTGTCTGCCTGTCGCCCCATCCCTCCCTCCCACTCCCTCATTTCTCCTTATGGCCCCATTACCTTCCTGTCATTCGCCCTCTGTACCTCTGTACAGCACCCAGCACAACAGGGCCCGACCTGGCTGACACGGAGTTATCGTGACTCCGGTCCCCGGGCTGTGTGGCGCAGTGTGCCAGGCTAGAGCTGAGCAGTAGTGAGAGCAAGGAAGGGCCCTCGCCACCGCACGGTGCGCCTGTGACCCCCACCGGGCTGCTACCGATCCCACACCTCCCAGACCGTCTACAGTTGGTGACAATCACTCAGTGCCAACTCCCTTCTGGCACTTGGGCAAGTGAATGAGGGCAATTACGAGAAATGATAGAGCCGTCTAAAATACACACGCTCCACCCTCGGCTTTTACTGCCTGAGCCCCAGAGATGCTGCCCGACCTCCCAGCCACAAGAGGGGCAGGAAACGGGCGCCTCCACTGAGGGGGCAACATTTTTTAAGTTTAAAATTTGACTCCATTTAAAACTTGGCACTTTAAGGAAAAAACTGGGGAAAAACTTTGAAATGTTCATTAAAATCTTCCTGTGTATTTACTGGTGAAGAAGTCCCACCCCCTCCCAGCCTGCACTAGTCTGCCCAGACGGATCGGGGCCCCAGCAGGAAATGGCGTATTCCAGCGTAGACCAACGTACACCATGTAGACATCCCCTCCTCCAGTAAAGAAGGGCTCTCCCACCGCTACCCAGCGACATAGCGCGCTCCCTCTGTACCGTACACTCCTTTGTCCAAGAGGAGAAGGAACTCGTTGACGGCCATCTGCATCTCGTCCTTGCTCAGGTCCAGCAGGGAGACCACCTTGAAATCCAGCTGGCGCAGCAGGTTGGTCAGTTCGTGTACGTCCACCATGGGTGCTTTCAGGTGCTTGTGGTGCAGGTAGTTCATGTTGCCCATCAGCAGGGCCACTTTGTCTGTGGCTGCCCCAGGAGAGGGACAAGAGGAACAGGTCAGGAGGATGGGGAGGGAGCGAGGGGAACCCTCCTGGGCCCTTTGGGATGAACGTTCATCCTCTCCCTGCTTCTATCTCCCCTTCACGCTCAGCACCACCCCAGACAGCCTCTTGCCCCACCTGCTGTAGATGGGCTCTCTAGAGTTGGGATGTAACTAGTCGGCCCCAAGTTTTAGCCCTGGGCCTAGACCTCTATTCCAAAGCAAGGCAGAGTCCTCCCTCCAGCTGGCTCATCCCTCCAGACAAGACTTTGGCTCTTCCTTGAAGGCCACACTTTGCCTAAAATAGCCAGCACGCTGTGCTCGCTCCCTGCCAGTGGGTGCCAGGGCTGCGGCAGGGGTAGGAGGGCATGCTGCAAAGCCATGGAGGAGATGGGCGATGGACAGAGCCCTGGAGATTGCATTGCCAGGCCAATCCTAGGGCTGGGCTAGGTGGTCTGATGGCTCTTCTCCATCTCTCACATCCACAGGCAGGGCTGGATCCGCGTTGGTTCTCTGCCCAATCCACAGGGAGGAGCCCACGTGAGGATGGATCAGCGAGACATGTTTCTCCACGGGTCAGCTGAGACGGGGCTGGCTGGGAGAACAGTCTGGAATGGGTCCCCGCCTTGGCACCAGGGAGGAAGGAGGATGCATGTATCGAGGGGGGAAGGCCCAGAGCCGTATCTCTCGAGCCATTTCTAAGTGGAGGCCTGGCCTCGGGATTTGGATGCAGCCTCTTACCGTACAACTGGCTGGGGCCGTTGTGCTCTGGGGCACTCCCTGGAAAGAAAGAGACACACGATCATCTCTCTGAGCACCACACGGGCACCATGGCTGGTAGACCCTGCCCCCCCGGCGGGGAGGGAACCTCGGCAACCCAACACAAGTCCCAGGAGCTCCCTTGCCCAGAGCAGCACCCCCTGAGCCGCAGGGCAGGCACTCAGCCCCCAGCAGCCAGCTAAGCTGGGCGAGGACAAAGAAGAAGTCCAGTCCACTAACTAGCATGTGTAAAGGCCACGGCTGCCGTGACAACGCCTGACCTGCCCCATGGCGGGCACAGCCAGAGCCTCCAGCCCAGGGGAGTTGGGTTCAGAGAGGAGCTCCTAGGTCCGGGTGGGACCCACCTGGGCCTCACCTACCTGCGTCCTCCTCCCGCCAGGAGCCTCCGGAGGCAAACAGCTGTGGGCCTGGAACAAAACAAAGGGTGAAGTCGTGAGGCTGGCAAGATGAGCAGGGCTGCCTGGGAGTGCCGGCTACTCTGAAGCCGGCTCCGGCTGGTGACTGGGGCCGCAGATCATTCGTGCCACAGTCCTTGCCCCAAACCCCGTCCTCCCTGCAGGGCTTGCAGACAGGCACAGGAGGCACCGTAGGAGGCGCTGCGGTCTCTTCTCCCACCCCCAGGCCTCGGCGAGGCTGGGTGGGACCGGCCACTCCCCACACAACGCCTCTGGGAAGGTATTACAGAGACAGGAATGCCCAGGGTGGGCAGGGGGTATGTACCCTCTGTCCCTGGCCATGCCTGGGTGGGAACTCCAGGCCAACATGGGAGAAATTATTTTAATAAGGGCCCTCAACTCCTCCCCACACCTTGCAGTCTAGCCAGGACGCAGCTGGGGCCCCGTCCATTTAACATTATGAGCAAGCTAGGGGCCGTGACCCCCAATGCCTGTTCATGAGACCCCTGCTGAGATCCCTGGGTTTAACAGGCAGCCCTAGGCCCATCACCAGGATATCAAGCACCTTCCCCCACTGCACCAAGCCATGTGACTAGCATGTGTCCCACATGATTATCCGGTTTTCACATAGGACTGACCACATCACTTCACAGCCTGCCCAGCAGCCTCAGAGCTCTCCCGCAGGGCAGGGCTGGTGGGGTGGGGACTGCCTGCGGGCTCGGTGCGCCCAGGTCCAACACGCGAGCAAAATGTGGCTTCTGTTCTCTAGTGGCTGGTCAACAGAGGGTAACAGCCTACTACTGCTACCCGTGCACAGAGCTGCTCCTTTAGCTCGAGTGATGGATGATGGAGCTTTGGTTCTGAAGGCCCCCGTTCCAAGCCTGCCAATGGCCTGCAGTGGGGGTGACTACAGATCCCGAGTCCCGACACCAGATCCCGAGTCCTCACCAATCTCCACCACCGTGTCCTGGCTCCACAGCTCCTGGAAGAGGTTAAACACCTTGCAGGCATAGCGGCCTCTCTCCGCGGTTGTCACCAGCTTCACCTGCAGCGAGGGGAAAGGAAGAGGCGTGCTCCAGCGGGCAGACCCTGCACTCTGGGCACCATACACTGTGACTAGAGCCCCCAGGAATCTGCCTTTGGTGAGCTGGGGGCTGTGGGCACTGAATGCAGCAGAACGTGCCCCGGTGGGCTAGGCTGGGAGCCCTGAACCCGGGATTACCCCTCGCTCGCTCCCCCCCACCTTGGGCTGCTGAGCCCACAGCGCCTTACCGAGAGTCTGCAGCCCATTATGGGCCCCCTGCCCAGCCAGCAGCCCTTGCCCAGACCCCAAGGGAGGGTACCTGGAGGTGGGAGTTCCGCGCCCCCTCAATCGGACTCCCGTTTCGGAACCACTGGTACTGGGGCGGTGGGTTCCCGATGGCCACGCACCGCAGCTGGAGGGAGTCCCCTTCGTCCAAGTTGCAGGGCTGGGGCTGACAAAGGATCTGCAGTCCCACCATTGTTGGGCAATAGCCGCTCGCTGGAGGGGGGTGGAGAACAGAGTGCTAGCCTGGGGCAGGACAACACAGGCACAGGAGTCCTCATGTGGGACCAGGCCCCAGGGCAGGCTCATGCAAGGGCAGCCAAGGGTGCAGTCCTGCAGCAGGTGGGCAATACGGAGGCCCAGCCAGTGGAGACTACATATCCCAGCAGGCACTGCTCCATCTCAGTCTGAGCAGCAGGGCACTGTGTCACTCCAGAGCCCAGATCGCCCTCTGCTCATAGCCGGGCCGCTTCAGTTAATCATCATAATAGCAATCCTGAGCCCTTATCTAGCACTTTATATCCACAGAGCTCACGGAGCTTTACAAAGGAGGGCAGGAGCCTTGTCCCCATTTTACAGATGGGGACACTGAGGCACAGAGGCAAAGTCACCCAGCAGGCCACTGGTAGAGCCAGGAATAGCATCCAGGACTCCTAAGTCCCAGTCCAGTGCACTACCCACTAGAGCACACTGCCTTCCCCAGCTGTAATGCACTCGCAGGAAGGCCCTGGTGACCCCAGCCTGTCAGGCAGGCTGTTTAAGGGCTGGGATCAATGGGAGGACGGCATGCGAAAGGACTGCAGGACAGGACACAGCTGGTACCACAGGGCAGCAGGCCCATCCCAGGCACAAGCATGAAGCCCACATTGACGGTACACGGCCCTCCCGCCTCGGCCAGGCCCAAAGAGCAGAATCTGCAAGTCAACACGGTGCCAAGACTGGAGCTGCCCCCAGACAACTCAACTGCCGGCTGCTTTCCCTGCCGCTGCTGCAAACAGCCCTGTGACTTGCCCTCCTACCTGAGGCAGGGCTGCTGCTCCGCTTGACCTGGAGCCGGGCCCACCTGGAGAACGCGAAGCTGGCCCTGTGGTTAACGCGGCAGATGTACCAATCCGGAGTCTGTAGAGTGGCTGGGTCAATCACCAGCTCAGGGGAGGTGGCACCAGGCACCTAACAGGCACGAAATAAACCACGCCAGGTCTAAGGGGGCAGGAACCATGCAGCCTCTTGGCCCTGCGCCCTCCATCCATCCCCAAGTGTCCCGGACTCCCGCCCCCCACGGGGGCTGCACCGGGAGGCTGCATGGTCTAATAATACCACCTAGCATTGACACAGAGCTCTGAGCACGGCCTGCGCTGACCAGGCACGAATGAATCCATTGGCCTCAGCTGGAGTTGGGGGTGCTTCGCTCGGCCCTTGGTGTCTCAAGCTGCGTCCCCCAGATTTGACTCGCCCAAGGCTGCTCAGTGTGTCAGTGGCACAGCTGTTCTCCTCCCACTCGACCCTGCTGCTGCTGCGGATTTATTGACTGATTAATTTATTAAGCCTGGAGATTTTCCCTTTTCCCTCCTCCCTCCCCCAGCCTCACCTCCTGCTTCCCACAGAACCACTGGTAGCTGAGTCCCGGGGGCCCCGTCGCCCAGCAGCTGAAAGACGCTCGGGTCCCTTCTGTAACCACCTGAGATTCGGGCTGCACCACGATCCTGATGGACTCTTGGACTGCAAGAGAGGAAAGAACACCCCCCTGGCTCTCTAGGAAATCAGGCCCCTCCAGGAATATGTCACAGGCCCGGTCTACACTCAAACGTTAACCCAGCGACGTTGCTCAGGGATGTGAAAAATCCACACCCTGAGCAACGCAGTGAAGCCGACAAACACCCAGCACAGCCAGTGCTAAGCCGAGGGAAGAATTCTGCCAGCGACGCAGCCACTGCCTCTGGGGGAGGGGGATTAGCTACCCCATGGGAGAACCCCACCCGCTGCGGCCGAGGGTGGCTATGCTGAAGCGCTAGAGGGGCTCAGCTGCAGTGTTTCCTGTGTAGACGTAGCCTCGGGCAAGAATCCGGCTTGTGCGTAAGTTGCCGTAGTTTTAGATCGTTCCCATTACACTCCCCTCGCAGAATTTCCCTTCACCTGTAAATTCCTGGGGCCCCCACTCCAACCACCATCAGGAATCCTGGTTCCCAGCTCCAGCCATCAGCTCACACTCTCTGGAATCCCGACATTCTGCCTTGCTGCTCCCTGCTCCAAGAGAGTCCTCTCCCACCTTCCCACCGCGGGGCTTAGAACCCAGGAGCCAGTGACCCCACTCCCACCCTAGAGTGGGGAGCAGAACCCCGGTGTCCTGACCCCCAGACCCAGCCACCAGGCCCCACTCCCACCCTAGAGTGGGGAGCAGAACCCTGGTGTCCTGACCCGCAGACCCAGCCACCAGACCCCACTCCCACCCTAGAGCGGGGAGCAGAACCCCGGTGTCCTGACCCCCAGACCCAGCCACCAGGCCCCACTCCCATCCTAGAGAGGGGAGCAGAACCCTGGTGTCCTGACCCCCAGACCCAGCCACCAGACCCCACTCCCACCCTAGAGCGGGGAGCAGAACCCTGGTGTCCTGACCCCCAGACCCAGCCACCAGACCCCTCTCCCACCCTAGAGCGGGGAGCAGAACCCCGGTGTCCTGACCCCCAGTCCCTGCTCCAACCACCAGCCCATACCGACACTGGAGAGAAACTGGAAGGCCTCGGTGTGTCCCATCTTATCCAAGCAGCAGAGCAGGTACTTGAGGGTGCAGTCCCGCTCTGACAGCAGCTGCAGGAGGCACTGGCTGGGGCTCCCGCGGGGCTCCAAGACCTTCAGGGAACACATCTCCAGCTCCTCCTCGCTGGGAACCCACAGCAAACACAGAACAACATTAACCCTTTCCATCCTGTGGCTGGGGAGACAGCCTCAGCTTCTGAGTGGGAGGCCGCGTGGTCTGGTGGAGAGGGCGGGAAACGGGGACACAGGAGACCCAGGTGCTCAGCTCAGCCCGGCTCTGCCCTGCGGGACAGCCTGTGTCTCAGGGATAACAATCCTAACCCGCCTTGAGATCTACGCAGGAGACGTGCTACAGCCGGGGTAACGTTCCCGGGTAGGGGATCCAAGCTGAGACACCCACCATCCTTAGAGCACCCCGGGGGCCCTACACTTACATTCACTGGCACAGCCATCACCCATCAGATCCTGCGCCTTCCCCCCACCCCCAGGCTGTTCTTCACAGCCAGCACTTGGCGAGCCGCGTACAGACGAGGCTTTTCATGGGTTAGGAGCAGAGACGGGACTGGAACGAAAACCCAGCATCTGAGCATCACTGGGCGTTGGGGACTTGGTGTGGGTTCTGGAGCACCTCAAGGGCTGAGCTTCCCGGGGAGAGCTGCTGGGCAGGACGCTGTGAACGCTTGTCACGGCCCCTCTGTCACTCAGCCAGAGCTGTGATCTCCTGGCCAGCCTGCTATTTAAGCCTAGATACAAAGAGAGGGGTTTGCTGGCCTGATCCTGCCTGGCACTTCTTTGGCAGGATCTCAATGAATCCCGAGCCTTGCTGCTATCCGGTGAAACCCGCCTACGGGACAGAGAATGGCAATCGCAGGCAGAAAGGAGGGTTCACGCAGCGTTTCGAAGGGTCTGAGATGGGGCTGAGATCTGTCCTCCGAGAGCCTGCTAGCACTGGGCACAGCAGCCCTGCCCGGGAGCAACACAATGACTTCGCCCAGTGTGTGCCCAAGGGAGCAGAGTGCAACCAGCTTGATGCTGAATGGGAGAAGGCAGCTCACAGAGACTACAGGTCCCATCATGCACTGCAGCACCAGGAGCCAGAGCATCCAGTGGTGTCTCAGAGACAGTGCCCCATAGCTCAGGGCAACGGAGCCAAGCACCACAGAGAACCTCACCTCAAAGGGCTCCCAGGAGCCCGGACCCAGCGCAGGTGAGTTGGTGCAGTCAACCCAGATACAGACACAGCCTGCACTGGGACAGCACACCCCCTACACCCCCCCACAGCCTGCGCTGGGACAGCACACCCCTCACAGCCTGCACTGGGACAGCACACCCCCTACATCCCCCCACAGCCTGCGCTGGGACAGCACACCCCTCACAGCCTGCACTGGGACAGCACACCCCCTACACCCCTCACAGCCTGTGCAGGGACAGCACACCCCTCACAGCCTGCACTGGGACAGCACACCCCCTACACC